CCTACACTGTTTAGAGGGGCTTATTTGGTGTCACTGGTGCCAGGAGCTGCTGCTAGCCAACAAAGAGGTGGTTTTACAGGATAAAAAGTACCTGTCTCCCACCCCAGCTCCTGCAGGGAGCTGATGGCCACATCAGCTGTAGAGGAAGGTCAAGGGGGGGCTCTTGGGCAAGTAAGGCACTGGCCTAGGGCATGCAGCCACTGGAGTAAGCGGGCAAACAGCAGGAGTACCTGTTCATACAGCCCTCCCCATGCCATATGCCAACACCCCGCTGCACACACACAAGCCAGGCCAGGAGGGCTCTAATATTCCCCTACACAAACCCACTGCAAACACATAAAAACCCCATGAGAAACACCCGCACGCATATCCTCCGCACACCCGGCTAGCTGCGAGGGGACAGGAAGGGGCAGGAGCGCTTACTCGTGTTGTTCCCCGCCAGCTTCAGCTCCAGCTCCTGCACCTGCTTGACCAGGAGTGAGATGTGCTGCAGCAAGTCCTTGTTCTGAAGCAGGAGCTGGTGCACACGAGCCTGGGCTTCCAGCCGCGCCGCTGCCTCCGCAGCCAGCTGGTCCTTCAGCAAGTGGACCTGTGTGACAGGAGAGAGCAGGTGAGCGCCTGGGGATGCTGCTCGAGGGCTGAGAGCTTCAACTCTGGCCACCCCTGCTCTGCTACCAGGGCTCACCAGCATCCCACCAAACGAAGAAGCCATTCCCTGTGGGTACCCGCAGACGTGATGGGAAGAGTGGGTGCGGGCGGCAGTCTTGCACCAGGGCACGCTCAGCACATCCAGCGCACAGTCCCCCAACCTCGCTGATGGAAAAGCCAGAGGCAAAGGGAGGTGGTGCTGACCGGACCGTCGGTCACATGTGTGCCATGAATACACGAAGAAAGGGCAGCCCAGGAGGAAGCCAGATGGATGTGGAAGGGAAGACACACTCGACGACCGGATGGTGCAGCCATACACCGTGGGCTGGCCCTGGCCGAGCTGTCTTTCCGGGAAGGTTTCCCAGAGACAGTGTTTTGCACAAGGCAGGGTCCTGCCAGCAGCGTCTGTCGCTAGCAGGGTCTGGAGCATCAGAGCTGCCCCGGAGCTGCAAGCGGCTCAGGCACGACACGCCTGGAGCAACACAGATGGCAGAGTGCTGCTGAGACATGGTGGCTCTGGGGACACGAGCTGGCTACTCCTTCTGGCCCTGGGAAGCCGTGCCTGGACATCAGCCCGTGGGGAGTCTGCAGCCAAGAAGCCCATTGATTTCAGCATAACTACCCATGTGCAAACATCTCTATCACCAGCACTGCATTCTGGGAAGGGGGGGGATATTGCTAGGCGACACCAGCCAGGAACCCCTAAATCTGAGTCTGAGCAAGGAGAGACCCAGGAGCGTACTCCAGACAAGGGGACAGCAGTGCAGAGCTACCCAGGGGCCACACCGGCTCAGCACCCCTTCCTGCCACCCACCCACGGCTCCTACAAGCACTCCTCTCTCCTGCAAGGACTGAGCCAGCCAGGCTCATGGGGAACCAGGAAAGTGCAGGTTTAAAAACAAAAAAAAACCAAAATGGAAAAAAAAGCCCACCAAACAAAAAATACAGTTTTACCTTGGCATGGAAAGTAACTTGGCGATGGAGGGGGACCGCTCTGCAGCCTGCCGAGGCTGTGAGCTGCGGATGCAGGGCCCTCACAGCAGCACAGCCAAGGGCCACCCGCCCTCCTGGATGGGTCCCAGGAGGCAGCGCTGGGTCTGCTGGCAGGACGGTGCTGCCCGCTTTGTCCTGAGCTGCCCAAACGCAGCCAGCAAGGCGGCCGGGCAGTGCCCTTGGCAGAGCAGAGCCGAGGCATAGCGAGCTGGGGAGTGGCAGGACGCCAGGCAAGGGGCTGGGACTTGCCACTGCCCAGGAAGCCAGACGGAGGGCAAGGGGTGCAATACCTTACACTCTGAGCAGGCAGCACAGAGCCCTTTTCGTTCGCCTGTGGGCCCCCAGCCAGGTGAGACAGCCCACGCCACTGCTGCAGGAGCCACAGCCACCTCCTCCTCCTGCCAGCGGTGGGACAGCGGGGCACAGCAGCACGCTGGGGTGGGGACCCTCTGCCGAGTGCTGGTGGGTGAAGCAGAGACCCCAAGCCGAGGTGGCAGAGGTGGAATCAATAAACGCTGAGTGGGTGCCAAAGCTCGGTGCTGACGCCATCAGCCTGGAATTCACCCTTCTGGGAAGCCAGTGCCTGCAGCTGGGATCAGGTGATGCTTAGGTGATGCCAGCAGAGCCCAAATGTCACATCTTGAAGAGGGGCAGTGCCACCAGTCCCCTGAGGACAAGACCCAGGAAAGACTCCTGGCCTTCATTCAAGAGAAGGACTTTCACAGGTATCTGGAAACGTCTTGCAAAAGCAAGACACTGATCAACGAGGGAAGTAAATAGCATTTAATCCTCAGCCAAGTAATTAGAGACTGAGATAATTACAGGACGGTCCCCGTAGCTATAGACCAAGCACAGATCCTGGTCAACATCTTGAGACTTTGTTAGTATAGAATTAAGCCTTTGTTGATCACCACATGTTCAGAGACAAATTGACTCTCTACTTTTTGAGAAAAGATAACAGGTGCCATCGACAGAGGTGTTGATGTAACACACGCAGTCATCTGAAGGGCGTCTGACGTGACAGGGTCCAACATTTTCATGAATAAATTACAACCACGCGCAATCACCACGGCGCGTGCTGAAGGGATTAGAGAGCAGCTAAGTGACAGCTCCCGGGACGAGAACCACCCCGGGGTGGGCAGAGGTCCAGAGCAGGGCGTCAGCCCTTGGAGAGAGGGAGACGAGCCACTGGCTGCCATCCCGGGAGTCAGCCAAGAAATGGCGTTATACTCTTTCACATTGGTTTTTTTTATCTGGAAGTAAGAAAAAAAAGAAATGGCCCCTGCAAGGCTCTGTGGGTACGTAAGGAGTGGGAACTACTGACGATGAGCAGTCCCTGCCACAGAGGGACCCGGCTCTGCCTGGCAAGCTTTCGCTGTAGCAACACTATACTTTGGCAGACAAAGGATTCCTTGAGGATGCAGGTCGCTCTTCCAGAGGGGAAAGCCACTTTCTGAGCCTGTGACCCCAGAACACATGCAGACTCTGGAGCAGCAGCTCGGTCAGAAGGACCAATACAGATCTTCTGATGTGAGAAGAGGAAAGCAGTGGGAAAGCACAGAAAGGCTGCAGGAGCCAATTGCTCAGGCCAGGAAGCCAAGCAATTCCAGAGAGCTCTGTGAAGGGTCAGGGAACAAGTAAAGCTAAGGTAACGAGTTAGATAAAGCAGCCAGAGCTGCTGAAATGAGAAATACCTGCATGGAGAACAAGCTGCCAGCTGCACAGCACAGGCAGCAGCTGGCCGGGGCTAACGCCCAGGCCAGGCATTGGCAGACCAGGGCCAAAGGGCCAAGAAACGTGATGGCGTGCAGACCTAAGCACCTCATCTTCTGTGACGGGGCCAGGGCAAATGGCCACTCCTCTCCCTTTGCTGCACGGGCCAGGAGATGGTCCCTCCCCATCCCCTGTGCCCCAACTTCTCCCACAACCACCGCCCGAGCACCTCTGCCTGCGGGCAGCCTGCCCTCCCCATGGAGCTGCCCGCCTTCAACGCTGCCTCTAGGCAGTGGATGCTCCCGCAGCACGGGGGGGCTCAGCAGTGTCCCTCAGCCCCGCCGCTGCCCCTGGGAAAGAGCAGAGCGGAGAACCTGTGCCACGGCCACTTGCGTCTGCTGCTGCTGCTGCTGCAGGAGCTGCTGGAGAAGCTGCATTTGGTGGTGGGCAGAGAGAGGCGTTCCCAGGTCGGGCAGCTGGGCAGATGAGGGCAGCAGCATCTTGGGTGACGCTGTCAGGATATCTTCAGGGTGCAGGCAGCCCTGCAAAACACCGACATCGAAAGTGTGATCCCATGTCCCTCGCCATGGAGAGCTGCCAGGCGCACATGGGCTGCGGCATAGACTGGCCCCCCAAAATACCCAGGAAAGAAGCTGCTGCATTCAAAGCAAATGCCCACATTGCTGGGAGCACCAAAAAATCTTTGAAGACAGTAACTTTTTTTTCAGTTTGACAACAGCCCAAATACTATTGTGGAAAACTCCTGAAAAGGCTGACTCCGCTTATGGGAATTTCCACTGTATCAAAAAAATATTATTTTCATTTTTTATGGGAAAAAATCCCTATCAGCTCTGCCCCAGACACTTTCCGTGTGGCTGCACAGAGCTGAGCCTCCCAGGAGTGCCCCGGGCCCCGAGCCAAAGGGCAGCCCTGCCGCAGCAGATGGCTTTGATCTGGGAGCTGGGGAATGCTGCCCAAACCCTCCTGATCGCCGGCACCCCCGGGATGCTCATCACAGCCATGGGGCCAGGGCAACGTCACGCCCCGAGAGCGGAGGGCAGGGACCCACGCACCTTGGCATCGGCGTAGGCACTC